CCCTACTTGAAGTGGGAAAACAACTATTGAAAAATGCCACCACTTGGAAATCATAATTTGGCTATGCGAATGTTTTTAACTTCACATTTGCAGCTGAAAAGAAATAGCATGAACCTTGAAAAAAAGGGCTCCTTCCATTGAGGATCGATTCAAAAGAAGAGCCAATGTTATCCTAGCTGGACTTTGATAAAACAGAAGCAGTTAAGTGCTTGAAGGTTCATTTCTACTTAAATCAAAGTAATCTGCTGTACAATATAGCAACACCTCACTAAAGTCTGAGCAACTTTAATATTGCATTTAAAGTCTCGCAAAGACCAGACGCCTCTCAAAGTGTCTATTCAGGCCTGCCATAAATAAATGTACCACAGACCTGTGGCTATACAAGCTTTCAGAAAACTTTTCAGCCATTTAAAAAGACAGTGCGCACCAAAAAACTGAAAATATTCTCAACTTCAGATCATATAAAATGTACTAGACATGGGCCGGTATAAGATTCTGATGAAATGATAACCTTGGATAAAAAATACAACAATTTCACTGTATCACAGTATTGCAATGACTGCCATAAAATGTTTTTTTTAAATGTCTGAGTAAAAAACAAAACAAAAACTTCCCGCATTAAACACAAAAAAATATAGTATTTTATGGTAGAAAGTATTTTGGAACAGTAAACATGTCAGGTACAATAATTAAAATAAATCACTGACTTCTTCTGTCTTCATTAGTTTTAAATAACACAGAACTACAAAAAGGCATCTTTAGAGATCTTCCTTTTCTTTGGATATAAAGTGAAGCCACTGAACTGTTCAGGTCTATAGCTTGATTGGGTTTAGGTCCAAAAAGCATTAAGCACTTGTCTTTTAAATGTTTTCTGAATTGTGGACTGACCAGTAGCTTTTCATGTGGAGGGTCATTTTCTGCTGGAGAAACTGTTGCCCTAAAATGAAAAAAAAAATAGTCATAAAACTACGTAAAAAAAAACATACATATACCTTAGGAACAGTATAACAGAACATATTTGCGGAATTAAAACCTTGACTTTTCCAAACCACAGTAAACCTTGAAACGGTTATTGTCCAATTCCTAAAATGTACAGTAGGTTACATTTTTCTTCAGAATTAATTTTCACCTGAAACTGTTTGTAATTCTTAGCTATTAAAAAATCCAAATCAGCAGTTACTAGCACTTAGAGATAAAAAAACATTTAAGGGCAAAATAAAATAAATCCCTATGACTGCTGATGAAACATTGACATATTATGAAGTGAAATGATCCTCTGTGCAAGAAACTGAACATTATTCACAGCATTAATATCTTTGATGCACAGTCCTGACAGACGTTCCCGTTACATAATGATTATTTATTTATGGATATGATGATAATTTTATGAATCACCAGAGCATGACCGCAGTTTCAACTTAAAATCTTTTTTAATGTTTGAACAGTAAAAAAAAAAAAAAAACTCATCTCAATCTCAAAAATGTACATTTTTTGCTTTTAGTATTTCTTGAAGCCAATGGTCCCCAAGATTGCAGACCGGTACCAATCCATGGATCAATTGGTACAGCGCCGCACCATATATATTTACAGTACATTAGATATCACCTATGCTATTGTTGTCTATTGGAAGGAATGTGTCAATAGAGCTGCGATTTTAGTACAGGGTAGCGCTGCTTTGAAATGAATGTGGTACCAAGGTACAGTGGAGGACTGGCCATCCAGAGCCAACGATATATGCATATATACAGATATCTATGATCAGGAGTTTTTCAGGTGGTCAGAATGCAAATATTTTAAGTTAAGTTACGAAAATTATCAATTTGCATCACATTTTGCATGAGCATTGCAGACAAAGAGCGTGTGTTTGTTTGTATGGAAATGCATTATTGTGGTGGCGCTATTGACGCATGGTCAGGGTCTGTATGTAATATCTAGTGTATATATCTACGGGGCCGCACAAGAAATCATGAATTATTTCCATTTTATTTATTATCTGAGTCTGAACGATCTTTTATTTTGAAAAATCTTTTATTTTGAAAAAAGACCATTTTCTCTTGGTTACATCTTGGTCATTTGAGTGCCAAAATGTAACCCACGAGCATAAAAATGAGTAAGAAACATGTCTTTGGAAAGTTTCTTTGCAATTGGGAAAAGGCCCAGTGAGGGAACTATGAACAGCAAAGGAATGGATCCGCAACCCATTAGGTAACAAATCAGGTGAATTCAGCATGTCTGTGCAAGAAGAATATCACCTGCTGTAGATCTCAAATAACGGAAGCCGTTCACATATCTTGTCTTTTCCATGCACAAGTTTGTTATTTCCAAAGGAGGCATGCAGCTTTTGAGAGCATACTAAGAGTGACGTGCACACCGTGAGTCACATGACAAGAACTGAACCATCAGCTTCATACTTTGTATGAAATATACACATTTTCCTGTAGACTAATTACCTCAGACAAACACAGAGCACCCAAACACTGCAGCGTTTTTAATTTTCTCCATAAATAAAACTTGTATCAGAGTTGCAGCAATGTCCTGCCAGCTAGTCATTCTCTAAGAAAACGGTTGATGGTCTGCTAAGCGTTGACCAGTCTGCAGTGATAAAAAGGTTGGGGACCATTGCTTTAATCAAGTCATTTATACTAAACTCCATCATATGTTCAGGTCAGCAGTGCTTTATTGCCATTCTGTGTTGGGAACAATTTAAAGAAAAAAAAGTTTACAATTTTTCTTTGGAATGATGGTTTTGTTTGACTGATGACCTGACATCATTTGATTCTGTGTTGCTGCTAAAACACCTTTTTAAAGATTGAGGGCAAAGAATAAAGGTTGAAGAAACAGTAAAAAGATTGTGAAAGGGGGATAAGTTCACACCAGTGCCTTGTAATTACATAGCAGGACATTACAAGGTTAATACTAGTCCAGCCAAAGCCATTTGAAAACAGAATTCTGGCAAATGTTCAAGGCTCGTCATCAGCAGCGCTCCTCTAGAAAGGCTTCTCACACAGACAAAGCATGTGTCAATAACTTTGCTCAGCGAGTATGAGAAATACAAAGTATAAGACCGTGGGCCAGAGGGGATTTCGTTTCACTACTATTAAACTCTCACAGACATTCAAAGTCCCTCAAGGTGAAGAAACATGCATTAAGAGCTGTTGAAGAGATTACAAGCGGAGATTACATCTACCATTAATATGTTAGTTTCACACATTAGTTACTGCTCTTTCACTGTTCAGGAGGTATTTTCAGTATTCCGTCAACTTTTCTAAAATTGCTCAGAGAAAAAATGGACGAGTTGTTGATTGCTATAAAACTGTAAGGTTTAGATAATTAGGATGGCATAGAATATGAGTTATTGTGAAATTTGCACTTATTTTTTTAAATGCTCAAATTTGCTAAAACATGATTATTGAGATTACTATAACACACTGTATCTGAGACTGCAATCTGAACCACACATTGGTCGCCAAAATTATTACAACATTTGTATTTTTACCAATAATAAATGGTTTTAAAGCAGTTATTTGTATTTTTTGTTGTAGCATGATAGTGGAAAATTTCACTTTGCTTTTCAGACATTAATTTTGCCATTAATTGTCATAATCCAGTGAGGTTTTAGTTTGCACAAGGAGCTGGTGTTCCACACAAAGTGATCTGGTCACAGCATCATCTTTATGTCTCCTTTCTCTTCTGGCCAAAGCATTCACATATTTCAGCTTCCACTACTTTATCCTGTACCTTTAAATATGATTGCCTCTGTTGCCTAGCAACTTCCTGCAACAGTTTCACTGCAGTGAAAAAACTTTGCTCTCCCGTTTGCTGGACAGAAGTTTGCACATTTACAAGCGCTGTAGTAACCTATACACAATTAATAGGCTATAATTGGGAAAAAGAATATTGTATTTTTTTTAATAATGACTTCATAAAATATGACGGCAAATGTTTAAAGCTTAATTCTAACAACTAAATAAAAGCAATGAATGTAAATATGATGTCACAAAAAGTGTGTTTCATGAAGAAATTTTGTTCCTCGCCACTGTCTGTTGCCACTGGCTTACTTGGTTTGGGACTTGTAGAGTTGCGCATCGATGGATTTGCTCTTCAGTGTTTGTACTTCCAGCAGTGAAAATTAATCACACTGAACTAAACTAATCTGAACCTCAACTCTGAAAACTCGACTGACAGTTTCAATTTACTAGAACTTCTTTGTTAAGCTGCTTTGACACATTCTGCATTGTAAAAGCGCTACAGAAATAAAGAAGAATTGAATTGAAATACATGCTGGTAATTTGGCTGGTAACGGTTTTGACAATTCAAAAACTGACAAAAAGTCAGAGAAATGAATCTATATGTGTTTTATTTGAACTAATTTTGAAAACATTACAAATGACTGCTTCAGTAGTTCTAGTGTTAAGCTGGGGTAAATATTAGCGTTCTAATCATTTTGGCCATCACTGTACAAAAAAAATCAGAATATCTATGCTGTGATACAGTATAACAACACATGAAAACCTAAGGAAACATTGCATTGGGGATATATTGATATAGTTGCCAATTGAGAGGGCTTGAGAGTCTGAACTACTGAAAGTCAAACTACTGTATCTAGCTATTTTTACACTCAAAACTATACAAGTGTTGCTAAAACAAAATGGTACTGTTAACTAAAAGCACTAGCTTTACAAGAGCTTTAAGCACTGAACACTGAATGCCTTTTCAATATAGTGCAACACTGGCTCAGTAAGGCTTGGAGTCTCCTGGTGTTCACTTCAGAGTTTCCAACACTAAAGGGTTTCTAAAGGTTTGACCCAAAAAATTAAAGAGAGGCTTAAACACACAGAAGCAAAACACTGCTGTCAAGTTGCATTATGGCATTTAAAAAAAAAGTACATAACTCAAGGCTTTTTTATTGTGTGGTCACGTGTTTGGATGAACTGCACTAGTGCAAACACGCATCTTTTTTTGGCTGCTTTATGGATGCACATAAAAGAGCAGATACTCACCTATGATCTCCTATGAGAGCTGCTCAGTGCATATAGTGGTTGTTGTGTGCCGTAGTGTTTCCTGGTCCCCTGTGTTCTGCCCTGGTTCTGACCGGGTCTGCTTAATTTGGGTCAGATCCACAACACTGCTGGGATTCGCTGGAGGGGAAGGGTTGAAAAGTTAAACAAGTGATCTGACTCAGGGGACGAAGAAAATGTGCTCGAGTAAGTGCGCATGCGTGTGTGTGACTGACTATTATTCTTTGCAGACTTCACTGCTTCCCTCCTTCTTTGCAGGGCTTTCTCCAGCTCTGACTTTTCTGATGGCGATGGGGGGCGTGGCCCAGGAGAGGAGGAGGGGCCTGGACGCTTGACTGTGTTCTACATAGAATGATTTCCAAACATTTGCTTCTATTCTCACTCTTAAATTCTATCCACTCTTCAACTCCTGGGCTATGTCCCAAATTGTGTACTACTTGAGTAGGTAATGCATTTAAACTATTACACTATAATGTTTTATACATTTTAATTACAATACTGATAACAATTAATAATCAACTATAAATGCAAATAAAGCAATTCTGACCAAGATCCCCTGAAGTTCCTGTATGGCAGAATTAGATGCCGTTGGTTCTTTCTGCAGGAAAATACATCAGAAGAATAATTAAGCAGCAAGTCATTAAATTATTGTCACAGCATAAATTAATTACTTATGTGAGTATTATTATTGTTAAAATGTTAAATGTAAAAAAAACTCATACTGAACAAGGCTGTATTTATTAAATCAAGAAAGAATCGGTTATAAATTCAGTTATGAAACAATAATGACAGCAATTATAATATAATAAATTTAATATATTATAATAATTATAGCAATAAATTATATAATAATTAAAATATTTTAATATAGAAATTAAGCACCACGTTATTAAATTATTGTCATGGCAAAAATTAATTACTTATGTAAGTAAGTACTAATATTGTTAAAATGTTAAATAACACTGGAACTGCCGGAGGTCACTGTATACCTAAAATTGCCAGTGCGGGTAAATTTTACCCAGCACAAATTTTGTTTAGAAATTGGTTAAAAAAAAAAAAAACACTATTCTGTTTTTGCCACTGTTTACAAAAGTGTCAAGACTCATGAAATGATTATTTCGAGATAAAGTGATTATTTTTGGAGAACAACAACAGTGAAGTTTAAACATTCATGAGTAGGTTAAAATATCAAAATTTGAGCCATCATACTCTAATGCATAATTTACTTCTCCTGACTCTCCATCATTCATTGCATTTTGTATTTTTAATAGCTCGACAAATCACCTTCTCTTATTCATTGTGACTTTATTAATTTGTTATAACCACTAATTCAGAGAATGAAATTGTAATTGTAATTGTAATTTCAAACATAAGCAGTGCATAAATACAAGCTTTTTTATGGTGGCACACGCTGGCACTTATAGGTTTAAATGTCTCACTTTTTAATCTATTTTTATCTAAACAATTTTTAATATTTGGGAATTGTAAATAAGGCAATTTTAGTAAAGGTCAATGACTGGGAGGCTTGAATGTTTCATTGAAGATATGTTATGTATATTTGATAAAAAAATAATATAATATTATATCATATTATATTATATTGTATCGTAACTTATCGTATCGCATCATATCATATCATATCATATTACATCATATTATATTATATTGTATCGTAACTTATCGTATCGCATCATATCATATCATATTATATCATATTATATTATTCATTCATTTTCTTGTCGACTTAGTCCCTTTATTAATCCGGGGTTGCCACAGCGAAAGGAACCGCCAACTTATCCAGCTCGTTTTTACGATACGTTTCCTGCCACAACCCATCTCTGGGAAACATCCACACACACTCATTCATACACACACTCATACACTAAGGACAATTTAGCCTACCCAATTCAATATTATATTATATTATATTATATTATATTATATTATATTATATTATATTAGATTAGATTAGATTAGATTAGATTAGATTATGTATTCCTGAGCTAAGCTTAATTTTACCATTACTCCAGCCTTGAGCATCACATAACTCTGAAATCACTTTAACACATTGATTTGATGGTGTAGACAAGGATCCTCTGAGTTAAAACATTTCAAAAGAACAGGATTTATTTAAAATAGAAATTATTTGTAACATAACAAAAGCCTTTGCTGTTAATTTTATTCCCACTCAATGCATTCTAGTCTAACTGTTTAACCGTACTGACAGTAGCACTAATAACAGATTTAATTTTATACAAAACAAATGACATAAAATCAGAACTAGTTGAGATTATTTTTATCAAATGATTGATAGCATATATAACTAATCAAACATACTGATATTGATTAAGTGAATAACAGAAAACACAGGCAGTGAGTGATTTTCTATGAAAAAATGTACCGGTCCTGGTCTGACTCTGTTGGTTGTCTGGGAAACCGGTCGAAGTTGAACTCCTTTTTTAATACGCAGCATCATCTCATCCACAGCCTGCTGTCTGACGTCCTTCTCTACACACACACAAAATCACACAAATGGGATTTCAGTTCAAACACACCTATACACACACTCATTGTCTGAATTTGATATGAGCTATAGAATATGCAGATGAATTTATAATAAACAGCATTAGAGCAGACGAACACACATCTTTGCTTTTCATTAGCAGTCATTTCAGACACAGAATAATATCAGACGTTTCCCCAATGCTATTAAACAGAACTGCTAGAGTTTCTATTTGAGCTGGCATGCATAAATATAAAAAAACAGATCAATAGAAAGTTGATCTATGGTGTTTGTCTTTATTTAGTGGCCTTGGCAAACACTTTTAGTCAATCTGTCATTAACTGGAACAAAAACATGTGAATATTATCTGCTTACCAGTTGATGTTTTTCTAAATCACTGAATTGGCAGAGCATTTTAAAGCTCAGCATAGTCCAAAAAACACCCTTCTATTCATATGAGATCATAAAAATGTTGTTCGTCATTAACAACAACACCTGAAGGAAAGCAGCAATTATTTGAAAGTATCTAAGCTTTGGCGTGCCACTTGTATTTATTATGGGATGTGGAAGAATTTTTAGTAAATCCATTTGCACTATTTCTGTTAAATATTAAAATGCTGTGAAAAAAGGAAATCAAGCACGAGTGACAAAAAAAAAAGGCCAAAGATCGCCAGCAAAATTCTATAAACCCAAACATCATGCCAATAATTGAAGAAATGTCAGATTTGTGTTAGCATAAATGGGTAATGACTTATCCAGCCTCTGTATAATAGTGTTTGTCCTTCAGCAAAAAGCGGCAAGTCTTCTTTTTCTTTCTCTTGCATCTTTTTTTTGGATAAGGCTGAAAGAAGTAGCTCTGGACAAACTTTAGACCCAAATCTTTCATGTTTTACCCATTGCTGTAATTAAAAACAGAACTGTATGCTATATAAAATAGTGTACATTAATTACATTCCATTACAGCATTTACACAATCAACATAAATATCTATAATCTTTCCCATGGCTTGATGGGGAACACAAGTGTGGAGCAGACCGGCTAATGAAATGAAAAACGAAAGATCCTTGAACTGTCGCAATCACCGATTATGCGGCTTTAAACATTTCAATCTATGTAATCTTTGCATTTATGAGTTATTATGCACATCTTTGCATTTATTAATTACTATGGATATCCTTCAAACTGCGCAATCTTTAACCTGAGTAGATATATAGAGACGAAATGAACTCTGAACTTGGTTCTTTACCTGGGGATTTCTCAGAGGAGTCTTTTTCCACTAATGCGATTTCAGTGCTCACATCTTTTTTCTTACGAAGTATTGATAGCAATGAGCTGTAAGAGATAAAAGACAAGAAATAAAAGTAGGAAAAAATAGCCAGAAAGCCCTTCAATATGTGCTGCCACGACTTCCTGTTTCATTTAGAAAATACGACATTGAAACTTCTACTTTAAAATCCACTTTAAAATTAGTTTTTTTCTTTTAATTTTGATCTTTTGCAAAAAGTGCTTTACATTGGGGTCATAACCATTTTATTTAGCAGACTATATTTTATAATGTTTTTTTTTGCTTTAGCTGAATGCTACATTTTAAGAACTTAGACTGTAAAACCATCTGCCACTTTATTACAAAAACCTGTTCATTCTTCAGAATATTTGCGGATCATTTCCAACCCTATATGATCATAATGTGGCCATCATTCCCACAGAATAAATGTGACGTGTCACAAAGCTCAAATCATCTCAAAATGTTTTCTGCAACATGACTGTGAGTTCACTAATACTTAAATGTCCTCTACAGTCCAGTGGAGCACTTTGGGCTGTGGTGAAATGGGAGATTTGCATCAGATCTGCAGCCAACAATCTGAATCAACTGTGTGCTGCTCTCATTTAAAAAAAAATAGAATTTGTAAGAAAGTTTCCAGCACTTTGTTAAATTGTGATTCCGGCAAAAGACAAAAGGTTTTCAGCTTGGTGATATCAAGGTTTAGGCCCAATCCCAATTCTATTTTTGTACCCCTATACCCCTACCTCTTCCCCTTGGCCCTTGAAACAGAGTGTGAAGGGGAAGGGCTTAAAAATTTACCCCTAAGAAATGGGACAGCACTACAACACCTGCATACATCATTAAATGTCATTGCGATTTCTTGCTTCATATGAGATTAGACAATCGCGACTGCTGCAGTTATTCCAGTTGTGCTATTTTTTGGTATTTATCTTCAGGAAATCAGTAAAGGCATATAGCATGTTATCATAACGATATAATGTGGCAATAAGATCATAACTGTAATGTGTATTTACACCTTGGCCATATTCATCAATGTAAACACACAAACACAACAAAAACATTAGCAGACACTTTAAAAAGCTCATTCCCAGCCACTAGACAATTCTGACAGGGTATTTGAGTGTCATCGAGTGTCAGAATGTTGTGAGACTGCTGTACAGGAATAATTATAGGAATTATAGATAACAAAATTTAGAGGTTTTTATTTCGTGTATTTTTTTTAGGTATGAAAACGTGCTTGTTGTAAAAATTCATAATTATGACAAAAAAACGACTAATTTGTGCATCTCCTTACTTAAGTGCGCAGCCATGCTGCCATTGTAGATGGTGTATTCTGGGAAATTTTCTCACCCCTTGGTTTTGAGTGTGGTCCTGAAAAATCTCAGTTTGAAGGGGTATCTAGCCCTTCCCCTTAGCCCTACGCCTTTAAGCTACAGAGAATTGGGATACCACTACCCCTTCACCTAACAACACGCAAATGGTGAAGGGGAAGAGCTAAGAGGTAGAATTTGGATTGGGCCTTAGAGTTTACACTCTTAAAAATTAAGTTTGCCATCAAACAACGTTTTTGGTAGCCCAAAGAGCCTTTCAATAAGTGTGATTTAAAAAAAACATTTTTTCTTGCTGTTTAGAATCATTTACATTTTAAAATATCTTCAAATAGAAAATTGTAAATAGTAAAAGTATTTAAAATTTGTAATAGTCACTGTACCTTTGATCAAATAAATGCAGCAATGGTGAGCTGGAGACTTCTTTAACCCTTGTGTGCTTTGTTTGAATGTTTTCTGTTTTCACCCACTCTGGAGTGATTTTGCACCTTAATTTGGCTGTAACTTTCTCTGTTTTAGCTTTTGTTGTTTTTTTCACATTTTTTTTGTGATAAATCTTACCTTGACACATATTTTGGAAAATGCTTAGAAAATTAAAAATTATTTACAAATTCAACAATACACTCTGGGTAAATTTACGACCATGGTTACGACCAGTGGCTGGTTTTGCCCAATTGACTTCCATTATAATGCCACTTTTGATTGCAAATCCATGACACCGTATAATCATGTGCTCTTGATTGTTACAATGTTGAATGAACTTTTTGGACTGTTGATTAACAGTTGCAATGTAAAAAAAGCTTAGATTTTGCCTTCTATATGGAGTATAGTATGTAAATAAGTAGTAAATAAGCAGCTCAGCTCTCAGAACATGGTACGTGAGTTTATGCACACACAATATAATCTGCTGTTTAACTCCATAGAACTCCATATAAAAGCAGCACATTTTTGCACAGACCTATCTAAAGGGTTAATGCTGATAAATGATGATGAACTGATGAAACTGAACATCAACTGTAACATTACATATTTTACCTCTTCCCAACAGGGAAAACCCCCAACAATCAAGCATGCATGATTACATGCTGTCATGGCTTTGCAATCAAAATATGTCTAATAATGAAAGTGAATGGGGTAAAAGCAGGCACGATGAAGGGGTAGTAAATTTGAACAATACACAATGGTTTAAAAAACTGTTCTAAAACTTTTGATTGGTAATGTATGTTCCTCATAAAACCATCAATCTAATAAAGTGTTCAGCGAAGGTATGCACTAATTTTAATGGCTTTTGTCATAAGCAGATATTCACCTGAGTGGGTTGCTTGAGGAACTAGATGGTGGAGGTGGAGGAGGTGGTGGAGGTGGAGGAGGAGGTGGTGCTGGGGCAGCAGTTGGAGGGTTGGAGACCTGCTGGAGCTTTTTTTTCAGTTCCTCCACTGCAAACAAACAAACAAAGCTGTTCTCAGAGATACAAACTCCTGCTTGGTTGTGTCATGTCACAATTTGTGTAGGTGTAACATATATGTTGTTGTTAAAGCGTTATTATGAAACTGTCAGTATGATGTCAACCTGACTTCAAAATGGCTTTCAGATGTTAAACCCTGGTACCTGTGAATCTGAGGTCTTTGGCTTCGGTTTCAGCTTTAGTGTGTTTGTGCTGCCACTCTTTTCTCTCCTCCTCCAGCAGATCTGTCTGTCTCTGTAGCGCCGTCAGCTGCTTCTTTACTTCACTGCTGTTTACCTGCTCTTCAAGACCCTTCACCTGGAGTTCACCAACATGCACACAGAACAACAATGGTAAAAACGTTGGTTTTAAAAATGTACAATGACCTTCAAAATGTACAGGTGAAGTTTGCAAAAATATTTCATGTTAAAATAAATCCTCTTGACCCATTTTTCAGTGAATGCTATAAAGTCCCCGGTGTACTTCAGAAAAAAACATGTGTAATATAATTTTAAAGATTATCAGACAAAAATGAAGTTTGAATTTGAAATTCGAAACGGGCAACACGGTGGCTCAGTGTTTAGCACTGTCCCCTCATTGCATGTTCTCCAGGTGTTCATATAGGTTTCCTCCGGGTGCTCTAGTTTCAAATGGATTTATTAATCATTCTTACTGTTCAATAAAAGCAAACTGTCACAGTTTATTAAAGATACAAACCCCTTACTGCACAACAGCTGCGCACCTTCAGCAAACCTAATAATTCCAGCAGCACAAGGACTTTATGATTGTTTAAAAGTGACAAAAGTGGCTGATCTGTTCAGTGAAATATCTGACTGCGTGTCCCAGCATATCAAACGACTTAAAACCAATATAACTGAAGAAATCTCCACTGTGCTGAGCGAGAGCGCTTACTGAACAGCGCATCATCGATGATTTAGGTGTGTCCAGGCCCAAATGTAATGTGAGTGCGGGCCGTCAGGGAAGACGGGAGAGGGGACAAGCGTTCTTTGGTCCTGTTCAAGGCAACTGTACATAGTGTGAAAACTCCACGTCTTTCCAGGACTTTCAAGTAAATTTTCATGAACTAGTGTTTTATGTAATGTCTACGTATATATGGTAAATAATAAGAAAGACAATGCACCTTTAAAGTTATTACAGCATATCATTAAACATGCAGCAATTTATTTAGTTTAAATAATCTTTATATCTATGTAAAATTTATTTAGATAATCTCACTGTTATAATCACCAGCGGTCCAGCCTGTGCAGATAAACATTCAGATCGCTGAAGAACTACAAATCCGCTAGCAAAAGAACTACATATTCAGTCATGCACCACTCACACACCTGGCCTAGATCCCCATGATTGCAAAAAGACACAGCTGAAGCTGTTCAGGACTAATTACACAGATTATATGAACACATCTTAAACACACACGCTACTGAGTCTTGTTAAACTCTATAGTGAACATTAGACGTGGTTTCTTTGTTTTGCATTGCTGTGTTAGACCTTAGCTTTTTTTTGTTTGTTTATTCCTGTCTGCTGCCTGCTTTTTTGACCCTCTGCCTGTTTATCAACCATGACTCTGGATTTCCTGTATACATCTGTTTGCTCCTCTGATGACCATTGCTTGCTTGACCATCCTGCTAATAAATCCTACATTTATATCCGCACTCACTTACACTCACACAGCACTAATAATGTGAGAGCATGTGTTTGGCCAAACAACTAGCCCATATTTAAGTATACAGATATTTGTTGAACTAATTTCCATGACTTTTCCAAACCTGGGAAATGCCATATCAAAATTCCATGACTTTTCCAGGTTTTTTCATGACTGTATGAACCCTGTTTACAGAAAAGAGGTAACTACTCTATGACAATGATGCAACAGGTGAGTGTGGCTATGGGTGCTCTGCCTTATTTGATGACATACTTAAAGGGATAGTTCACCCAAAAATGAATATTCTGTCATCATGTTTACTTGTTTCAAACATTGAATGAATCACTGATACAACATGATGACATCATTAATATGTTAATTAGTCACATAACAAAATTTAAGATGACTTTTCAAACAAACCTTAGCTTTTTTACATTAAAGCTATTTGGCTAAATTAAAACAATCTACTTAATAAAGTATTATACACAAGACAAACTACAGATCTCAAATGTAGAGCTGATAGAAACAAATGGCTAAAATGAGATGCTTTCTTAAGTGCTGTTTTCTGACCACTGTAATTTTCTGTGTGTTTATTTTTCTACCCGGTTTTCTACCCGGAGCATATACAGTTGATAAGAAAAGCATTCAAAGTAATATTTCCCACAAAAGTGTCAATACTCAAAACCCTAAGTGCAATCAGATCCAATCAGTTTACATTTTTCAGTTCAATCGTGAGCGAGAGCTTGGGCCATGGTTGCTGTTGAATACCATTCAGCAAAAAAAAGTCTTACTTATGACACAGGGTGACAAAGCAATTACTTTTTGGGGTAACCAACCCAGCACAAGACCGTGACTGTTCTTCCATCGCTTACAGCTTAATTATTGCTCCTGTCATAATAAATGTGTCATATCTATACTGGAGAAAGAGAAATACCCAGAAAATAAGTGGGACGCAAAACAGTTCTCTTGATCTTTAATCTTCCATTATTGACTGTGTATATGCAGAATGCTGCTCAATTATTCTCCTTTTACAAGTAATGCATAAGTGTGACACAGGAAGGGGCTTGTGGTGCGGCTGATTTGATTGGTTTGTCTGTTATTAATTTAATGATATTCAGTCTGCAACATGGTGGTGCATCGGTTATTGATGTTGCCTAACAGCAGGACGGTCGCTGGTTCGAGTCCTTGCTGGACCAGTTGGCATTTCTGTGTGGAGTTACATGTTCTCCCTGTGTTTGAGTGGGTTTCATCCGGGTGCTCTGGTTTCCCACACAGTTCAAAGACATGTGGTATAGGTGAATTGAATAAACGAAACTGGCCATAGTATATGTGTGTGAATGAGTGTGTATGGATGTTTCCCAGTACTTTGTTGCAGCTGGAAGGACATCCGCTGTGTAAAACATATGCTGGATAAGTTGGCGGTTCATTCCGCTGTGGCGACCCCAGAATAATAAAGGGACTAAGCTAAAAAAAATTAAATGAATGAAGGATATTGAGTATGTATCCTCTCAGGACACTGTGACCCGAGGGACATTGTGGGAATTAATGTGTGTGTGTGACCTGTTGCTGATGCTCCAGTCTCTGTTTCTCCAGAGTGTGTGTCAGTGTGCTGATTTCTGCCAGAGCTTTCTGTAGAGCTTCACCCACGGAAATACTCTGGACCAACACCTGGCTTTGTCTTTTCAGCTTCTTCTGTTCTATGAGCATCTGCATACACAGAGAGACAGCACATATAGAACACATTCACACACCATCAAATTAGCATATTCCATAAATATTCAGAGCCTCTACAACGTCTTATGCATTTCAATAAATTAATTCTGTAAGAAAACTAACCTCATGTGCAAACTTCTCCGCTTCAGAACGCAAATCCCTCTCAAGCTTCAGATCCTCCTGCAAGGACTCAAACTCATCTAAAGCATATTGAGAAACTACACACACACATATACACAAGAAAAGGTGACAGAAAGTACTCAGATTTGGAGGTCATGAACTGAAAATATTAAAAATCATCAGATTTTTTTTTGACATATACAGTAAAAGGTCATAGTACTATAAACATGTCTTATACTGAAGTCACTTTTTTTACATAGTCGGTGCATAGTCTAACAGGGTTGTTTCTCCTCTCCCACTCCCTATAAGAGTCAGTTGAATCGCGTCATGGTGCATTTGCTATTTACATGGCGAACTTTGCAAGCGGAAAAACTGAATATTTCATTAGCGAGAAAACAGTTAAACGGATCATCTGCGTGAGGATGAAGAATGCGCCTCTTCCACTTAGCCTCTTTACTTTGTCTTTATTTTAATTTACTCTTTACTTTACTCCTTTACTTTCGTGGACAAGGAAACAGTGAAAACTCACTCCATTGAAGACATCCAATAGCCTACATACAGTGCATCCGGCTTCACTTTTTCCACATTTTTTAAAATTACAGCCCTATTCCAAAATGGATTTAATTCTTTTATTTCCTCAAAACTCTACACACAATACCCCATAATGACAATGTGAAAAAAGATTTTTTATAAATGTTGCAAACTTATTAAAAATAAAAAAGCTAAAAAACTATGTGTACATCCTTTCCAGATGCACTGTATTTAATTTCGCTATCATATTTAATTTAGTTTAAGGGCAAACATTTGTTTAAAAAGTAATTCTAAATTCAGTTCTTATTTCCAGCAAACAAATAAATGATAAATAATAATGAAGTGTGGTAAAAAAAAAACATCTAAACACACGTCCTATTCTTATGCCCCATATGACGATGCAGGCGTCTCCAAAACCAGGAGACTGATGGACAAATCTAAACTTGTTTTTATTAAACAAATGTAAATATGCATATAATTAATAATACTGCTAATAATAATAATATCATTATGCAAAAGCAAACTGTCATAAATGAACTGAAAAAAGCCCCCTGAGGTGAGGCATGGAGGCAGTGGCTTTTATATTTATGTAGAAAATAATAATTTTTGTAACATTTTAATCCTTTATTTTTTAATAAGTAAAGATATTTGTGAATTGCTGTACATCCTGTGTGGATTAAGTGCTTGAACCTGCATGGATGCCTAACTAACCCGTTCTGCTCTGGACTTTAGACTGGTGGGTCAATGTGGCAGACTACTTCAGTTCCTCAAAATAGCAAAGTGCCAACAATATGCCTTAACATTAACTCACCTCCTTTTTAGACCATGAGTCTACAAAGTGGCATAAATGGATTTGCTATTTAAACAACGTGGTGTAAAACGTGAAAATTAGGGTTGAGCTGGTCTGAAAATAGCAACAAATCATGCCAAACACATCTTGCACCTTATTGTGCCAGGTGTATGATAGGGCCCTATGTGTCTAAACAAAAAAATAAAATAGAGAAATGCAGAAATTAAAGGGTAAAGGTGCTCTGAAGTTTTAGGAAAACACAGTTTTTGCATTACATTCATTCTGATCCCAATGATTTTTTTATTGTTCCCGTCTCCCTCAGTAAGAATTTTTTTTTTTTTACTTTACAGCAGATTCATGTACAAAAAAAAGACAAAAATACTGTGTTTTCAGAAAATCTGAAATTAACAAACAATGCTGTGTTGACTACAGAATATTGGATCTGCGCACACATGTGTGTTTATTAAGTGGTCACTATTGCTTTATCTGTTTATGACAGACTTTATATATGTACTAAGCATTTATGCATTTTTAACCTAAATCCGAGCTGCAACTATCTATAAAATAAAATGGAAGCTGTGAAACATGTATCTAGAAATTTACATCAATTGGCACAATGCTGACCTTTTCATTTTTCCATTTAATCTTAAAAGCAAAACATTGAAAAGCTTTAAATATTAAAAACTGTAAGCCAATCATACCAGTGGGTGTTGTTTACTTCTGCATCTACAATACACCACCCATATTTAAATGGTATCAATGAGGGGGGTCAAAACAAGACAGAAAATAGCTTATTACTTCTAAATTATGATTTTTTAAAATGTTAAATTTAATAACATAATAAGTGGATGTCAGAGAGAGAAAATAAGGCTGTTAGTGACCTCTTTAAATAGTGAATTACTTCTTATAATGACACAAAGAAGCTTATAAACACTTTGAATGAAGCAATAAAGATGCACCAAAGTGGGAAAACAGAATTCAAATCAATAAACGAGAGAGAGAGTGTGTGTAAGAGAGAAAAAAAACAGAGGTTAATGTAAGGGGATACAGTGGAGAACAGGAGCACAACTGACCTCTGTTGTATTTGCCCAAGAGCTTCTTTTGTTGGAATGTTTCAGCTATCAAAACAGTATTATCATGTTTCTCTTTCAGGAGCTTAGGGGAAAAAAAGAGTGAGCGAGGGCTTCATTTATTCTGGTATTAAACTGGTTCATCTGAAACACATTGAAGAACACGGCACAAAGACAGCCTCCTCTTTTCTAGTTGATAGTCATTATTCTGAGTGAAAGCCACTGTGAAATATGCCAAGGGTTAACGCTAAAGACATTAACGAAGCGGGTCAAAATGGTTACGTTCTGCCATGATGAGAGGCTTTTTTATGTGCATTAAAGAAAGCGTATATTGTAAAGTGATGTACAGTAGATCGTCCTTAAAGATGTGTTCATTAAAGCAGCACAACTCTAGATTTAATGCATTTCTGGCATACTTCCTGTCTGGTTTTGGAAAGCTGCTCTCTTGTCGTCTCCAGATCGATCATGAGCTGCTTCTTCGTAGCCAGGATCTCCTCTAGCTTATCCCTCAGCTCTACAACAAATCAATGAAAAAGGTGCTTATAAGAAACTTACAGTACACAATGACCTGAATTCTAAAGTATTTTTGTAAATATGAATTGAACTGAAGCATGTGGGGAAATAATAATGAGAAATGACTGTTTTTTGCTGAAAAATCATTGCAAAAATCATTGTTTGAAAAAAAAATCATTGATTATTGTAATGTTCTGTTTACTTGTCTAAACAAATCTTCTATGGAGGGATTAAAAGTTGTGCAGAATTCAGCTGCCAGGCTTTTAACCAACACCAGTAGAAGGTTGCACATTACCACTGTGCTTAAGGCACTTCACTGGCTTCCTATTAGTTTTAGAGTAAATTTTAAGATTCTGGAAAATACTTATAGAGCTCTGCATGGTCAGGCATCCTTCAATATTTAATATCTTTTACATATTCACTCATGTAGCCTATGGCTGAGCGATTCCTTGGAAGGTAATCGAAATCGACATTAATATGCTATAATCGATCTAAATTTTCCAGGTCAATTTTTACAATTACTTTTGCTGACCCCGCTCTGTTAAGATTGATTTATACTTCTCCGTCAAGCGCACACGTATGGTCAGGCACAGCTGTCGGTTTGATAACGGTGACGAGCGTGTGACAGCGTAGATTAATTTAGGTTGTTCATCGTTGATGTTCAATAAATAATCATAGATAGTGGATAGTGAGTGTTTCCTTTAATTATTTTAAAATCAAGTAATGCGCCTTCATTCAGAAATCTCTCATGGTTTTATGTGAACATATTTACTGTACAAAACTTGTCAGTGAATTATGAGGCCAAAAAAATCATAATCGTGTTAATTTGTTCAATTAATCAAGTTTTTGATATTTGGTCGCCCAGTCCTAATGTAACAGGCCTCTAATGTCTTCTGGCAAAGACCTTTCGGCCATTCCCAGAACATGTCCTAAAACGCTCTCCCTCTAGCACTGAGAACTCTGGGGCTTTTAAAGACACATATTTTAGGTCAAGCTTTTAATTAAAAGTATGCTGAGTAGGTTTAACATTGGTGTTTCTGTGCTTGGATTATTATCTTGTTTTAATATGTTTCCTTTTATTGATATGAGTTCATTTACTCTATTTTTCTTTTGATGTAAAGCATTTTGTGACTTAATGTCAGTGAAAGGTGCTATATAAATAAACCTTTACTTTCTTAAGCCTGTGCTCATCTTTAACTGTTGTTACAATACGTTTCCATTAATTAAAGTTAATGTATTTACTAACATGAATAAGCAATCCACAATACATTGGTAGCAGTATTTATTTTCTATGTTAACATTAGTTAATGAAAATACAGTTTGTTAGTTTTGTTTCCTCACAGTGCATTAAATAATGCTAACAAGCTCAAATGTGGGTTTTAATAATGGATTAGTAAGCCTTGAACTATGATTAATAAATGCTGTGCAAGTATTTTGAATTCTTAGTTCATGTTAGCAACTATATTAACTTATATATTAATTTATTAACATTATGAATGAAACCTTTTACCATATTTAATGTGACCATCAAGAGTTGGGTGTAATGCTTTCAACAGCAACACATTACTGTATTCTACTTACATTTTTAAGAAACACAATGTAACGAATTACATTTTAAATTTGTGTAACTTGATTACAGACTAAAGTCAAAGTAACTGCGTTACCTACAAAAACACAGCGGTCCAACTCAGGCTAAACAGTCTAAATTGGATTTTTGTGCAGAATCGAGAGTGATGGTATCTTCTGAGTGTGAAGTAAAGCATAGCTGCTTGGGGCAGTGCACATATCTTGTCTTTTGCACAAGCACGTATATTGGGAGCGCATATTGCACGCGTGCATATGAAATGCATATAAAGTGCATATCGCTCACATTTCCCAGGCGCACCCAGTTGAAAATCGCAAGCCACGTGACAAGAACTGACCGATTAGCTTAATACTTTGTATAAAATATACACATTTTCGTAGACTAATTACCTCAGACAAACACAGAACACCCAAACACTGCAGTGCTTACTTATTCTATGGATGTCAATCTTTACAGGTATCCAGTTTTCTTCATTCTTTTGTGTCAAAAAATGCATTTAAGTTTGGAACAAGTGAATGATGAGAGAAGTTTTCGGCGAACTCTTTTAAATATGAAAAGCTTTTCAAATACGTCAAGCTGCTGTGATCAACCTTTTTAATGTTTTTCAGTGAATATTAAATCACTGAAACAGCTGCAGTTTATTTTGTGTTTTATATATGTTTTAAAACTAACTTCAAAGTAAAGTAATTAGTAATCTGATTACATTTTATATGAAGTAATCAATAATTTAATTAGATTACAATTTTTGAGTAGTAGTCAGTAATTTGTAGTCGATTACTTTTTAAAAGTAACTTACCCAACACTGGGACCATTAATGAATGAATTCAATATATAACATTTAAAGATATTTAATAATTAAAGTCTCCGGTCACTTTGAACTCCAGTTATAACTAAAAGTATTAAGATGCTTTACGATTTGTAATGTGCAATATCTATCAATCAATTAATCAATCAAATTTTTGGTTGTTTGCCTACGCAATGTTGCATACATTTTATATCATTGAAATCAGTTTTGTCAGGCCCAAATAGGCCACTTAAATGAACAAAAGCAACGTCTTTCCAGTATGTGGAGTAGAAATAATCTTCACATTTAACCCTAAGCTAGAAAAAATTGACCCACCTGTGATGACAATATGACAGTGGGAGGAGCTACAAACGCCAGCCTCCTCCTCATGTGCATCTTCATCATCCTCATCATCAATACTGATCTCAGCGACCACATCAGCAGCAAGGCGAGACATATAGAGCATACTCTTCCTCTTCAGAGAGAGGTTCTGCCTGTTTAACTGAGACAAACACATTTATTTTAATGGTAAGCTTTTTTTTTTCTCGATAAACTAGACCATCAAAAAAAAAAAAGATAATCCAGCAAGGCCAATGTCGACACATTTATGGGAATAATCAGAGATCAAAATGACACCTGTAACACCACAAATGATATAAAACCCAAGCTGGTGATTTTCTGCGTTCGCCGCAGAGCGAAAAGATATGAGAAATCAAATCAGCGGCATGTAGACAGTCCAACCCACTGGAACCCCAGCGGCGCCCATGCAATTCCCCTCAATCACACCACCAAACACACACAGCACGAACACTCGCCAAAAGAGCAATAATCAAGGGCAAAATAATAGACATTTCATTACACGTATGCAGGAGCAGCAGCAGCAGACACTCCTGTTTTCATAAATAATTACAGCATTCTATCAGCACCCCCTCCCTCGCCACATGTACACATACCTGCGTCCGAGGGTTTTTACCTTTTTCAACATCCAATTAAAGTAATTTAAGACTGGTCATTCACACTTCAATTAGGGAGCCCACTTAATGGAAACTCAGAGAGCCAATGGGGGTGGAGGCATGTAAATTAGTCCCGGATGACATTCCGGTCAGAGAGAGAAAAAGAGCGAGAGGCTGGGATAAAATGCCCCCTCTTTAACGAGCCTTTATTAATGACATCCAAGAGGGGACGCGCAGCACGTGAATCCATTTCCCGATGGCGTCCTTCCCGCTGAATGCATCTTTTAAAACCGCAATCAACAACACATAATACAGGGATAAACACGCAGACACACACACGCATCGTGCCGGCGATAATCATCCGGCATTGATGAGAGCGCAGCGGCGAAATTACACAGTGGCAGAAATCAGACGTGCGTCCCGAGGTGGCCAGGCCCCTCATCTCCTCTGATCACACATCAAAACAAAATGTCATGTGTTTGGATTGCACTTTGATTTGACTGCTGCCACCCGCGAACCCTCATCCATTACTGCATTTTAATTCAAAACGTTCCAGAATTTCGGAAATTGATTATGATTTTTTTTTTCTTTCGAGGAGGAGGAGGGGGTCTCTTGGCAGACAAAATTACAGCCGTCATACAAAATAAATCATAAAGCTGAAATGCAGAGATGATTTGAGACAATTCCACTTACTATCCTCCAATCACACCTAGCAGCATTTTTTGGACTAATTTAAATGTAAATTTGGGATGAGTCGATGCTGTATTTTTCAGAACGCACCACTCACGTTTTCCCCAAAAGAGGTGAGTTTTTTTTTTCAAAGCCGCAGGCAGATGCAAATCAAGACAAAGATTTATATACTTGTTTGGTGAATCTTTGTAAAATTAACTGATGCAAGCACAACAATGAAAAAGGAATTGTTTCATTACAGTTATCATTCATTCACTAGGAATGCATCTGGAAAAATAAGTAGGATAGTGTATCGCCTGCAGCTTATTTTAGAAAATAAAACATGGTGACGCACTATTACAATTCTGACCAAGGTGATAACAAAGACCATAAAATACACTAACCTGATCTCACGAGGAAACTTAAGTATTTTACGTTTTGTCAGTTTAGTGCACTGGTGAGCAAACTCGGTCCTGGAGGGCCGGTGTCCTGCACAGTTTAGCTGCAACTCTAATCAAACACACCTGCTTATAGATTTCTAGTGATCTTGAAGACACTGATTGGCATGTTCAGGTGTTTTTGATTAGAGTTGGAGCTAAACTATGCAGAACACTGGCCCTCCAAGACCGAGTTTGCCCACCCCTGGTTTAGTGGCTAATTTGTATGAATTTGTACGAATTAGCCACTAAACCAGGGGTGGGCAAACTCTCAGTTCAGTCGTACAAAAATGTACGTTTTTAAAAAGGAGGCGTGGCACTCAACCCCACCCCTAATCCCAACCTTTAATGGGTGATGAGGAAATCGTACGAATTAAATTGTACAAAATCAAACAAATTAGCCACTAAATCAAAAAGTTACGAATTGCTGTGAGATTGCGTTGCATACACAAAACGTGTCACTCACGTATAGTTTTGAATGAAGAAAAGTGTAATGATCAATATGGCGAATGAAGACCCACCTTCTAGCACAGGAGCCAATCATCGATCACTATAGACTGACGGAGAAGCTCGTAACAGACGTCTGCTTTAACAACGTGTTTGTTTGGTGGTCAAAAAACACACTGGAATCTCAGCGAATACTTCCTTGACAGACATACGAAATTTAACCACATAATGCTTAAAATGCTTTTAAATGAGACAAGTGCACCTGAAAACAAAAGATTTTTGGTTTTGTAACGAACGGGAGATACAGTACACCCTTTCAAACGCACATCACAATGCATTTTAACTTCATTTTAAGCGTTAGATTCCAAAAAGTACATTTGTAATTAAAGTTAATGTACTGAATTAACACAATAAAGACTATACAGTATTATTTTAGCTACATTGTTCAAGTTCCGTGCCTGAATACTGTTTGACTCTCCGGAAAACCATAAAGCACTGTTTGTTTCACTTTTTTCCTCTGCTTTTTTATTTTTTATTTTTTTGCTTGTATTTTGTTCATTATTTGTTTATACATGATTCACACCCTCACAAAATCACCCTAATCAATATTAAGTAATAATTTCTTTCCAAATTGAGCTATTCAAGCCATGTGGAGAAATTGTTTTCATATTGCAATATACATTGCATAAAAACAAAATATTGCAATGTCCTATTTTTCCAATATCGTGCAGCCCTACAATGTAATGTAAACAAATTTGGTGGGCAAATTAGCAATTTTTAAAACTATAACCGGAGAGACTAATGCAATGCACAGCGTTTCCTGCCTTACAAAATAAATAAGACATGGGCATTTGAGAAGAATTGTATATTTCTTGCAAAAGCAACTATAGTGACAAACACAACAGCATCGTCAGTCTGTCATGTGTCCTGACAGATGGAAGATGAGCAAACCAGTGGAGAGCTGAACCTACAGCACTCTCCTGCTGTTAGTTCCCCATCCGCGAGGGCTGTTCACAGGTCAGCCTGGACAAAGGGCATCTGCACCGGTTTTCATGCTCAGTGGCCTGCCGGCGAACATAGAACAAGCTGGGCTGTGCATTTAAGGATGTCAGGAAACCGTTGATTGGTTAAATCGAGCTTTTATCCAACACATAATGCTGAGGCACAAAACGGCCCAGCTGCAGGTCTATTTCCTCCGCACAAATGAAACGCTCCAACCACAGCTCTCAGAAACATCTGTGATGGCTTCACATATCTCAAGGAGAGAAAATATAGCTATATACTGTATACTTCAAGAAAATACCCCAGCAGTCCTTTCGTACACACCAAATAACTAAGTTCACATTGTTGTGTCAGCTTGGTCTTTTTTGCTATTTTAAAAAAAGTGTAATTTTGTCTTTTTTTAGACACAAAGACTTCGTCTAATAGCTAGCTCGCCTACAAGAAGATTACAGCGCCCTTTTACGACGCTAAATATGAATTTCTCCTGATCTATATCTCTTTTGTCTTTGAAATGGAATCAAAGTTAAGCATTCATTCAATCATTTATTTTCCTTCGGCTTAGTCCACAGCGGAATGAACCGTTGATTTATCGACCATATATTTACGCAGCGGACGCCCTTCCAGCTGCAACCCAGTACTGGCTAACATCTATACACACTCGTTCCCACATACACTATGGCCAATTTAGTTAATACAATTCATCTTTTCCGCATGTCTTTGGACTGCAAGGAAAACTGGAGCACCCAGAGAAGACCTGCAGGGAGAACAAGCAATCTTCACCCAGAAATGCCAACTGACCTAGCGGGGACTCAAACCAGCAACCTCCTTGTTGTGAGGCAACAGTGCTAACCACTGAGTCACCGTGTCGCCCAAAAGATAAAGAGACTTTACCAAAAAAAAAAAAAAAAAAATCCATTGAAACAGAACAGTACAAAAAATCTAACAAATCAGATCAGAAAATAATCACATAAAACAGAAAAGAATACCTTAGATAACCAAATAAATCTAATAAATTAGAGAACAGAAATTAATTAAAAAGAGAAGCACATGAAACAGAGATAATACATATTAAATAATCAGAATCAACAAGAAAAATCTCAGAAAAAAAAAACCGAACAAATCCTTTTGTTCATAAATAAAAACAAAAGTCCACAGGATTGTGCCACCTCATAGACTACTTTTAAAAATCAAGAAAGCATTGTTTCCTTTTCTTTTTGTCTTTTATCTATGAAGCAGAATAAAACAATAATTGACATAACAATATTTGATATACAGTATTGCCCCAATATCATCAAAATAGTATTAGTGATGTAAGTTAATGCATTTACTAACACAAACAAACAATGACCAATACATTTATTACAGTATTTGTTCATGTTAACTCACGGTACATAACTTAATGTTAACAAGCATGAATTTGGATTTTAATAAGGCGTTAGTATATGTTGAACTATGATTATTAAATGCTGTACAAGTATTGCTCATATTAAGTTCATGCTAGTAAATACATTCATTAATGAAACCTTAACAAATCTACACAGAAACTAATTAAATAAAACAAAACAGAATTACATTAAGTAGTACCCGATATCATCAAAATATTATTAGTAATGTTAGTTAACGCATTTACAAACACAAACAAACATTCACCAATAAATTTATGACAGTATTTGCTCATGGTAACTCATTTGGATTTTAGGCATTAGTATATGTTGAACTATGATTATTAAATGTTGTACAAGTATTGCTCATATTTATTTCATGTTAGTAAATACTACAGATGTAAAGATCCTGACTGACAATCGGCCCCAATAACGAGGTTTCAGACTTAATCGGAATCGGATGTTACCTCCCGATCAGTACTTGAATATATATGTGTAAATATATATTCTCATTATTTTAGAACACACCAATAGTTATACGGATATATGACATCACTTTGTTGCAGAGACGCTATTGGTTAAATGCTGGTGTACATGAAAGCAGGTTGAAGC